CCTGTGCATTGGTACAGTTTGCCCTGTTCATTGTGACTCTGTGCCCTGTGCATTGCTACACTGCGTCTTGTGGATTGTTACTCTGTGCCCTCTGCTTTGCTACAGTTTGCCTTGTTCATTGTAACTCTGTGCCCTGTGCATTGGTAGAGTTTGCCCTGTTCATTGTAACTCTGTGCCCTGTGCATTGGTACAGTTTGCCCTGTTCATTGTAACTCTGTGCCCTGTGCATTGCTACACTGCGTCTCGATCACTGTCACTCTGTGCCCAGTGTCTTGTTACTCTACGCCTTGTGTGTTCTTACACAGTACCTGGGAGTGGTCCAGCTGGGGTTTGTGCGAAGTGAATGTTGGGACATTCCACTTTAATCTTTTCTGAGCCTGAGGCGGCACGCACCTGAGAATAACTGCGGTTGAGCTGAATTATTCTAGCTAAGGATAGAAGCAATTGAAAACCAGTATGCTTTGTGTGGGTGTGTCTGTGATAGCTCTGTAGAAGGTGTGACTGGCGAGCCAGAATTGAAGAAATTTGTTTCAGTGTAAAGCGTTTTCATAACGTTTACAGAAAAAATGAAGATTCAGTTCTCTCTGACTTTGTGTTTGCTTTCTGGTGGCAGTCAGTACATCACTGCAAAGCACTGAGCTTTTACCTGGCAGTTAAATAAAAGCAGATCAAAAGTTACTAAAATAAGTGAATCCAGACTTACCAGATTTCCACTGCTTTGTAGTTCTTTTTTCAAAGTGCAGGCACTCAGACGTGACCACCAGAAACATGTGTTTGGAGTTGCGGATGAAGCAGTAGTCCGCTTTGTTTGAAGACATGAAGCTGTCACTTTCCATAGCGCCTGAGAGCAGAAACATGAGGCATCTTCGTGAGACTATGTACACCCTGTCCAAGCCTTCGAATACACCTCTGTCTCAGCCCCTGACGAAGGCCCTTGATCTGTAGGAAAGTCTTTACACCAAGGGGTTGTGGGGGTGTGGAACAAGGTGTCCAGCCATACTGTCAGTAGTCACATTCATGTTGGTGCAAATGTCAGCACTACATTCAAAAGACTACAACTCTAATGTAGTACTATGATCCATCCGATCAATTTGTATTTCTTGAAGCTGTTAACCTCTCTTTTTTCATAACGACGGACACAGAAAATACAAACTGAGAAAAAGAGAAGTAAAGGGGGCTCTGCTCAGGTACACATGGGTTTCATAGTAACACAGGCAAGTTTAATTCATCACGTAAATATTAAAGCCTGAACCGAGTGGCCAAGAAAGGTTCCCAAACGTTATAAAAGTATAAGAGTGTAATCAGGTGGGGAGCTGCGTCAGCAGGCACGTAGTCTGCAAAGGCGCAAGCAATAGGTTTATTCCGTGCTGAAAAGAGAAGACAGAAAACCCAACGTTTCGGCTGTGAAGCCTTCATCAGGTGTGAGAAAGACTGGGCAGACAGCAAAGATTAAAGAGCACAGGAGAACAGAAGCTGGGAGAGGGGAGGAGGCAGAGAGGCCACTCAGGAAGTGAGAAGTGGAGAGGGTTGTGAAGTCAAACCTGGCAGGAGAATAGAGAAGATCACACGCAAACAAGTCGGTCACTGAGAGAAGAGAGTGTAATCAGCAAGTCAAGTGGCCCAAAGGGACATACTGCAGTGTGATCCTTTGCCAACTTACTATACTACAGTACTATTATTACAGTAAGCATGTTCTCCCAGATCCACAGCAAAAGGCTATTCTTCCAGGCACAGAATGTGAGCATATTGTAGAGCTTTTCTCTGTGCTCTAATTGATACGGCTGCTTGGCAGGCCAAGTAAGAAAGACACCAGGTCCATCATCTGTATTTTGAACAGTCAGCAGTATTTTATTGTTAAACCAGTAATATTAATCAATACGATCCTGAGTATTATTACCACTGTTGTTTGTGGCTGTGGATTGTGCATTGTTTGGCAGTGCAGGGCTCTTGATTGCAAGTGGTCGATGTGGGGTATTTGATTCTCAGTTCCTGTTAGACCAAGGCAGCGATCATACAAAGCTTTCCGGACGAAAAGAAGAGGCTAACAGCCGGCTGAGCCGAGCGTCTCGCCCAGCCATTTCTTAAACCTGACACTCGGGCCTCTTTCAGCGTCACGGCCAGCTGGCTTGTTCTACACCCCGGCCACCCTTTGTGTAAAACAGACTAACTGTGCCCTTATCTTTTCAGTCACTGTGGCCCCTTTTTTTCTATCCTTACCATTGTCTTCCCCTTGTGTAGCAGGCAGGAAACACGGCATACCGGCAAAAAAGAAAGAGAGAGTTAGTGCAGTGTGTCAGGACTGCTAGAAGAGGTCAGCGCATCGTCAGTAGTGCCGACCAGTCCTGTGTGTCTGCGTGCAGGTCTGTGTGACTGAGTGTCTGTGTCTGGTGTGTTTGCATGTGTCTGGTTTGTTTGGTGTCTCTGCATGTGTGTCTGGTGTGACTGTCTTTGCATGTTTCTGGTGTGTGCGTGTGTTCTGGTGTGCTGGTGTGCAGGTGCTTGCATGTGTCCTGTGTGTGCGTGTCTGTGGTTATTTTCTTCTCTGAATTCTGCATCTAAAAATAACAAACCATTAATAATGATTAAAAGAAGAAAAACACGTGTTGCTGTTAACTGTAACAACCCCGGACTCCGTGCACTTTTGAGACCTCCTCACCTTCAAAAAAAACCCCTTGATCATTGCAGAGAGCAAACTTGATTTTCTCGCCTGTGACTGGAAAACAGCTCATCTTTGGAACCTGAATCGACAGGAATGGACGTAGTATTAGGGCACGTTGACAACACGGGGCAAACGTGTCGGCAAATCACGATACTGGAGAGGTGGATATTCTTGCAAGTCGCAAAGCCTCCGATTTTTGTAAGCCTGGTCTGCTGTTGCTTTCCAGTCATGGGACACACTGCTTGTCGGTCTCTGTCCCAGGATGAAACTTCAGGAGAGGGTCTACAGAAAGCATAATGTGCCAAAACTGCATTGCACCCATCTGGCAAGTCTTTATTATTCTAGCTGGTATTTTCATACTGAGGAAACTGTAACCCTGAACCACAGTTTGAAAAACACTAGACTGTTTTGTGCTTTAGGCACATTTTAGACAGACCAGTCCCCTCCATTACGGACCTGCGCTAGAGCTGGCTTTTCAACTACCACATTCAACCGCAATGACAGACCACGTGGCTTGAAAAGGAGCTGCAGACTCGTTTCGGTGCAGGTATCTAAGTTTGACGAAACACCATTGTTATTTATCTAACGCCAGCATCGACCTTGAACATATATGGTGTAAAATATATGTAGTCGAGCTCCAACATTTTACTTTTGGATCCAGTTAATATACAGTATGTTTGTCCAAGTTTATGTCTATGGTTAGAAGCCGCCGTATTCACATAACAAAAAAAGACGGGAGGGCTCCTTCGTCAATATTCGGATGTGCTCTTTTTTGTAAAAAAACCCCACTTGCTCTCGGTACGAGCAGCGCCTCTCTGAGCTTTGCTGAGCTCGCTCCTGCTTCAAAGCTGCTCATATTTGGCAGGGTTATCGCTGACTAACGTGCTGCAGGTACGCGATAATGCATTTTCACAGTCCCGCAAACCCGAGGTCCACATCAGAAAGTCCCACTTCCCCACTATGAATCGTGTTGGGAAGCCACGTCG